ATTTTAACCAAAAAGAAAGGGTTTTTTTTGTTTGGTTTTTTTGTTAATTACCTTATCGCTCCTAACTGCTTGCAGAACACACTAAACTACAACGTGGGSCAGTCACGCTCTTTTATAGCAGGCCTGAAACAAGCTCCAGGTGAAAGCCATTGATGGTTAAAAAGCCAATGACCTCCAGCTGGCACAGCTGATCAAACTTTTTACTCAGTTTGATTAGAAATTCACAGTGACAGTACAAACGTTATGGTCCAGAATGTTGCTAGTGATCTGTATGAAATTAAATTTAGTTAAAATTAAAGACAATCACTCTGTCCAATGGTTTATTTGGGGGGAAAAGGTGCAGTCTTCGTCTCCCGGGACGGGGATTCCGCGCGGGCAGCGAGCGCGGGGCCGGGAGCGGCACCGGGAGCGGCAGTGGCGAGGGAAAGCCGCCAGGTGGCGCTGGAGACCCGCGGCAGCGCCCGCACCGCCTGGGCATTGGGGGGAATCACGGCTGGGATAACAAACACCTGCGGCAAAGGGAGCGAGAGCCGCGTGTGACTGACTGCATCAGGGAGCTCTGCTAGCAGCGAGCATCTGAAAAACAGAGCATAAACTACAAACATTTCTAAGGTGATTCAGAGAATAGCAACTGGCTGTTGAATTTCATGGTTGTACAATTAGAAGTGTTGATGATGGTGTCTTTATGTGTATTTTTAGGTCACAAAATGTGACTTTTAAGTACTCGATGCTGTTACCCAAGAGGAGAGTGGCATTTAAATACTGAATTTTCTATATATCAGTCCAATAAATTCAATGTAGATTCGTGTCAACTAAGTAAATCCAGAACTCAGGGGGAAAAGCAGTCAGGTTTCTGACCCACCAATAAGTTACAGAGCCGTAATGATGCATGCACAGTGGCTATAAAATCCGAATGACTTTTTGAGATATTGCTAAAAGAAAAAAAAAAGTTAAAATGACTTTGAGTCACCATACACTCCAGGTCCTATTACACGTGGATTTGGCAACCTTGTTCTCAGATTGACTCATTGCCTGAGTTACCAGGTATAAGCAAACAAAAAAAAAAATCTCTGAAGTTATAATAAAACTTGCACTCTTACTTTACTGTTTTTAGCAAAATCTTGCAGTTGTGATTTTAACCATGGATATTTGGAAAATATGAAAGATGCATCAAATTTTACCTTTTCTTTCAAGAGTATATTGTATACTGAAGAAACTATATTTTCATAACTGGGCTCCTCGACTATATAAATCCAGGAAGCTYATTGGGAGGCTCCTGTCCTATTCARGCAARCAGTAAAAAAATGTGACCAGTCTAAACAAAAGTAATGGAAAGGTTAAATAAGGGAGTTGCAAACCTGAGAGTTCGTATTTCAAAGACTCTCACACCTACTTGATAGATTTTGCAGCGATCACATGCAATCACAGAAGGCTATTTAAGGTTAGATTGGTAAGGAAAATGCTAAGTAAAGATATATTTTGCTGTGATGACTGAAATAGTRAGATGGAGTGATTTGGATGAGGTCAGTGTCTAATAGTTCAGAGAGGATTAGAAACAGYTACTGGCCCTCAATCTGTTGCTGTAATTACTGAGCTACTCGASTTCCCTGCAGAACAACTCAGGTGTTGGTACTATTGCTCCCTGTATTCTTGGTAATAAATCAAAACATACAATCTTCTGGCTTCTGTTTAATGGAAGGTGAAAGTGTCCCATCTCAAAAAAAAAAAGGGAACAGCTTCATACTTACCTACTGCAAAATATAGCGTTAAACCTGGATTTTTATGAAGCTGCAAATAAAGTGGCTTTAAGTTGTACAGCTCTAAGTGTTCTTAAAAAAGGAAGAGCAAGAACATGCAAAAAAAAAAATCCCTAATAAACAAACAAACAAACCAACCAGAATCTAACACTCCAATAAGTTTTTATTATGGTGAACCGTGGGTCAGTTGTGCCAAAGTGACGTGTGGTAATCACTACTTCTCAACAGACTGCTGCAACTCGCTTGTTCCATGTAGCATTTGGGATCTTAAGCAGAGTTAGTACAACATTTGTCAGCTCATATGTTACCCTGAGCAATTAGCAGGGAAAGACCAAGAGGGCTTTTTTAACTCACTGGTTTTTACACGGATCAAAGCAACAAACCTCCCTCTCAGAGGAAAAAAAAACCCCACCAACACATTTACTTGAAGCAATTAATCCCTTACTTCTGTGGAATTCTTGCCTGCTGGYAGATAAGACTCACAAAACATGGATTTCGATTTTATACAGGGTCAGCAATGCAGAGTTAATTAAGTTTGGTTATACAAAATGTCAATAAACAAATGTGTATAAACTACACACTTAGGAAACATCTATGCTTCAGTAGCTACTGGATTTGTAGACTCTGTAGGGCAATGGTTGTTGTTGAGGTCAGAAGCAGGAGAAAAGTCCCTAAGTGTAAATTTATAGTTACAGTAGCAAGCTAGGGGTAAATATAACCTAAGCTGAAAAGAAACATGAAAAGTGACAGTCTTCTCACAGATAAGCGGAATAAAAATATTTATTTCCATAAAGCCATATTTACCATCATCAATGGACATAATGACCTTGTCATTCTGTGTTCTTCTTACAGCCTCTTAAAGTGAAATTCAGCTTCAGAGCTAAGGATTCCTGGTAAATGTTAGATTTTATAACACCAGGGAATGATCCTGCAGCATTCTGACAAGATGGTCACTCCACTTGACAAATTGCTAACAGCTTGTCAGCAACCCATGCATGTGGTTTCTATTCACAAGTTGTAGATATGGTCTGTAAAACTGTCCTAATGGTTGCCAGTTCAGCAGGGGGAAGAGAACAGGTCTGAAGATAATGGAATATTGTAAATAATGAATTCGTTACTTTGCATCCAAGCTCCTTAAAACTATGTTTCAAGGCTTAAATGGAAATTCTAAGCAGAACAAAATATTATGGAATTTGCTAAAATATTCCATATATTAAACATCAGCTATCATAGATGACAGTAGAACCAAAGAGGGGAAAGCAGCAGCTATTTTAACTCTTTTAGAATTTAGCAGGCTACAAGGAGTAACCATGTTCATACTTAGCATTTACAATGTAGTCTATTTTTTTTCCAAGATGTGCTCACTCACTGTCAGAGGAGTTACAAGGATTTGTTAATTAAGTCACTGTTAYCCTTATTTTAAAACAAGGGGGGTTAGCTGTGGGTATTTGGAGTGGTTAATCACACAGTGAATGCAGCAGAATCAGGATTAGAACAGGATTGTCTCGTTTCCTGTCCTTGCTTTAATCAACTTGGTATTCTTGACTGTCTAGACCATTCTGTATTTAATTTTTAATCCCATTTCTATTGCCAAAAGCTAGATTCCCATTTTGATAGAAGTATAGAGCTACCTTCATTTCGATTGTTGTAGCAGTGTTTTATTGGCTCCCCCCATCAAATTTTAGACTAGGTGTTTATTTTCCATGTGCCTTTTTTCTTAAGACATCTATTTCTGTCCTAGTTGCTCCAAATAGGATTGTTATCCTTGTATCTACTTACAGCCTGTGGTTGAATTTAACCTTGCATTACTGGAAGCATGTTTCCTTAAAGGCAGAATTTGCTATCAGATGTTTCTGTGGAGAGGCTTTTGTTACCGATGTCACATCAGGTAGAATAATAAGCACAAAAATATATGAATCTTGCAGAACAGATTAAAAAAATAACCACTACTTAAAAGATAAAAATTATTGAGGTTTTCTTTTGGGGCAAAAAAAGGTAGACACCTGTGCTTGGACTCTCAAACAACCATGATGAAACAATCCTGCTAATGGATTTTGCTCTTCTTTGTGGCTATCACTCAGCTCTTCACTTAGGAAATCTGTGATGATTTAGCATTATAAAATCCCTCATTGGGAACCCTCCCTGGTACAGCAAGTGAGGATGAGTAGAAACTGGACCAAGCTGGAGAGAAAAATGGGAGGTTAGAAAGTTATTGACAGCTGAGCTACAAGCACTTATTTCGCTGTGTAGCTTGGAAGGTAAAGCTCTACCGAAGCTGAGGAAAGGCTGGGCTGGGAAAGCAGGMGGTGACATTTCCTCAGATCCAGGCAGCCGGGCAGCGCTGTGGGACGGGAGCTCCTCGTGAGGGAAGCGGGCRTGAGGCAGAGCCCACACTCGGGCAGGGACAGCAGCACCTGCAGCGTTCCACGGCCAACCCCAAACCGCTCCTG